GAGCGGGAGCGGGAGGTGGGAGGGGCGGAACGGGTATTCTATCAAGCAAGACCCCCAGTCGCTATCTCACGTCCTCCTTCAGTACTCCATTAAGAAAAAAGAAAAAAAAACAGAAAAACAGAAAAAGAAAGCTGACGAAGAGATTCAGTCAGAGACCACCTACTGTCTTCACCCGAATGGAACGCCCGGGTATCACCGCTGCATCTGGACTGACAGGTATCCCAAATACAGCTATTTAATGACTAGGCGTTCTATTCGGATGAAGGCGGCAGGTTCTTTTTTTCCCACAGAATGATGTGCAATCTTACTGTATATTCAGTAATGTTTTTTTCTTTCATTTTTCTTTCATTTGATAGACTTCAATTCAATCACTAGTACCTCCTCCGCCAGTGTTGGGAAAAAAAATAGGGAAAACATTACTATACTGTTTTTCTAATGAAAGAAGTAGACAGTTTAGTTTTTCTAAAGACATAGCCAGTATATCGAAAAGCAATTTTTCTAATTTCCGGAACAAAAGAAAAAACAAAAAGAAAAAAAGAAAAAACAAAAAAAAAGAAAAGCAGTTTTCCTATTTTCCCCGAAACGTTGGGACGGATGTCCCAGAGGCTCGGCAAAAAAAAAAAAAAAAATGGAAAATAGGAACAAAGAGTTTATAGTCTAGGCTACCCGCCGGGCCGCCCGGGTCCCGGGTGGCCAGCCCATGCAAGGATAAAAAAAAGGTCCCAGCAAAAAAAAAAAAAAAATCCGAAAAATCCGAAAAAAAAACTATGTTATGCAGAAAAATAAATCGAGCAACTTTTGCCTCAGGGTCACATCGAAATTCTTTACTGAATTAAAAATAAAAACTTGCCCGGCCGGGCCACTCTGGTAGCCTAGTTTATAGTTTTATATTCCGGCTCGCGAAAGGGAAAAAAAAAAAAAAAAAAAAAAAAAAAGAAAGATACTTTCTCTACTGCATTGATGTCGGGCAGGGTAGTCTAGGAGGCCGCGCTGACAGTAGTCCTCCACAGAATGAATCTTTACAGGTAAAACGGTCAGATTCTGAATTGGTTTTTTTTTTTTTCCCCTTTCATTTTCTCATTGTTACGAGTCCCCTGCCAACGAGGCAAGGCGGAATCCGTGATCTGCTCAAAGCTGTGTTCCCTCAGAGGATTGTAACCCTGATCACACTGGCACTGAGAGGAATGTATCCAGCCAATTTCACGGCCAAATCAGTGTTTCCTTTTTTTTCCCTCCTTTGTCTTCTGGAATCTGACAACCTGGCCACGGGGCTGAGAAGACGCCCTCACACTACCACTTCCAAGAATGTATACAGCCGCATTTCACGGCCAAATGCTTTTTTTCGTCTTTTTTCCCCCCTTTCTTTAGTGAGTTTCACGGCCGTGACTTTTCTTTTCTTCGTCTTTCTTTTTTTTTTGTTCCTTCCGTGAGAGTACGAGGGGGAAAAAAAAACAACTGCATTTCTCGGCCAAAGCTTTGTTTCGTCTTTTTTTTTTTCCCTTTTTTTGTGAGTTTCACGGCCGCAGACTTCGCTTCTTTTTTTTTTTGCTTCTTTTGTGAGTTTCGCGGCCGCAGACTTCCTTCTTCTTTCTTTTCTTTTTTTTCGCGAGTACGAAAAAAAAAAAAAAAATGCATTTCTCGGGCAAAGCTTTGTTTCGTCTTTTTGCCCCCCCCCCTTTTTTGTGAGTTTCGCGGCCGCAGACTTTCCTTCTTTTCTTCTTTTGTTTGTTCATTCCGTGAGAGTACGAGAAAAAAAAATGGGAGCGGGACTCAGGCTTGGCAAAACTCGGCGCGCAGTGAAATTCAGGCTCGGCAAAAATAGGCTCGGAGATGCTATAGTGGTTTAAAATAAATTTTAAAATGCTATAAATGAATATTATGAAATGTTTAACGAGTATAACGTAGGTAATGACGTCCAATGTACAATGTTGAAAAAAAAAAAAAAAAAATTAGTAATTAGAAGAAGTTTGACTATACCCGTCTTCCCCCGAACAGAACGTGCCGTTCATAATCGCTCTGCATGTAAACTGAAAGTCGGTCCAGATACAGGTATATAATGGCCATACATTCTATTCGGGGGAAGACGGTAGGTAGTCCCGACTTCAGACGGGGAGTGCGACGCAGACACAACATTTTCACCTAATGTTATTTAATTTAGGTCTAATATACCACAAATTGTTAACCTAATACAGTATGTCCCCTTCCCTACGCACACAATCACCTAATCAGTGCTTAATTTAGTCTTTTCGTCATATAAATAAAAATAAAAATTAACTGTTTAACTTAATAAGTCGAATTTTGTCTTTTAATTTTCGAAAAAAAAATCAATCACCATGAAGTATATAAACTTATTCGGTCTTTCCTTGAATGACTTCCGACAGAGAAGCGGACGCAAGTCGCAAGTACAGATCAAGGACACCTAGCTCTCTTCCCTCGAACAGAACGCACGGTCATTATCGCCGCTGTATCTAGACTCAAAGTTGCCTCAAATACAGCTATAAAGACCGTGCGTTCTATTCGGTACAAGACGGGGACCACGGGATACAGTATACACCGGCAGACTTCTTCTAAGCGATTCTGAGCTCTCTTCCTCCCAAAAAAACAAAAAAAAACAAAAAAAACATTTTACATTATTACCCCTCCTCAAGCAAGGTCTGGTAGGGTGACCTAGCCGTCATCAACCTCCCCTTTCCCCCCCTCCTCGCCCCCCAACAAAGAAAATGTCCTCCCCTTTTCTCAACTCCTCTTGAGAGAGGACGATGTCAAAAGAAGCTTGGCATCTTTCGAAAAATGCATCAATATCTTTCTCGGCCATTTGGCTAAGATCAAGTGTAGTTTTTGTTCTGATCAGTTTAATATCTGATCCGTGGTCCATCGAATAAAAAATATAAAAAAAATAAAAAGCATCAAAATCGGAATGATACAAAGAGAAGAGAATATTAGATTAGATTCGCCTATAACCTCTGCGCGCAAGGATGACCCCCGCATAAATCGAGAAAGGGAGCAAATTGGAACCAAAAAAAAAACGAAAAAGGGGAGGTGGGGGGGGTAGGAGGTTAAAAAAAAAACGAAAAAAGATCAGCATAGCAAGTGCGCGCAAGGATGACACGTTGAAATCGAGAAACGGTCCACATTGAACAAAACAAAAACAAAACAAAAAGAAAACAAGAAAAGGAGCGCGCCAAGAGAGCGAAAATGTACAGGGTAAGCTGAGCATCTGCAAAAGCCGTACGTACTGACTACCGTCTTCACCCGAAAACAACGCCTGGTCACTCCGCTGTATCTGGGTCAACTTTCGATCTAGAAACACTGCCATAATGACCGTGCGTTCTATTCGCGTGCCACCGACAGAAGCCAACTTCCGAGACAATGGCCACGTGGCGCTCAACTCCATCAGACCATTTCCAATTGCCGCACCTTATCCACCCTCCACACTGAGGAGCTCTCTCTCTCTCTCTCTCTCTCTCTCTCTCTCTCTCTCTCTCTCTCTCTCTCTCTCTCTCTCTCTCTCTCTCTCACACACACACAGAGGAGACCAATCATCTCCTCATCAACGAACGCATGTCAGACCAGTGCAAAGTCGGGGCACCTCTCTCTCTCTCTCTCTCTCTCTCTCTCTCTCTCTCTCTCTCTCTCTCTCACACACACACACACACACACACACGTATGCGCGCGGGCTCTCTCTCTCTCTCTCACACACACACACACACACACACACACACACACACGGGCTTTCACGGAAATGGACAAACTTCGCAGAAAATCGTCAAGTGCCGTGTCCCGCCAATCGATGAAAAATCACTAATTAGAACTGAAAACGACGAAGCCGAGGAGAGAGTCATCTGCCCTGTGGCAGATTGATATTTTTAATTTTTAACAAACAAATGGTGAGTTCCAATCGTGCTAGATACAATGAATATATACATTAAGGCCTAACCCTAACACCACTGTCAAATCTGTCCATCGCCACTCAGAATCGACCCGTCCCCTCATTCGTTCTTCGTCAGCTGTGAGAGTCTGTACCAAGTTCATCCATCCCAACACAAAGCGAGGGTGTCACTGAGCTCGCGAGAGGGCTACCGTCTTCCCCCGAACACAACGCACCCCTATTTTGGCTGTATCTGGCCGGAAAGATAGCTTGTATACATTCATTTTTAGGGTGCGTTATGTTCGGGGGACGACGGTAGTTAGACAGAGACGGGAGGTACACTACCGTCTTTCCCCCGAACACAACCCACCCTCATCATTATTACCCTATCGAGACGGAAAGATAGCTTGTATACATTCATGATCAGTTAGCGTTGGGTTCGTTGAAAGAAGATGGTAAGACAAGACGACGCTAATAGAAGACGGCTTCGGCTAATTAGCCCATCAGGGAGAGGAGCTCGCTCCACTACATACCACATGCCAACAAAAGAGAAAAAAAAGTACGGCGGCGTATCTTTCCATCTTCTAGCGTAAGATTCATTCCCATTCTGCACATTTGGTGAGTATTGGCGCGGAGGCCCAAAGAGTACTACACAGCGCAACCTACCTACCTTCCATTCTTCCACGTGGAAGTCAAAGACAACGCATTGACGGACCCGTTCTCGTAGTCTCCGGCTTTCCCGCCCCTTCACCGCTTCTCCGCTTCTCTCCGCTTCTCTCCGCTTCTCCGCCTCTCCACCTCGACGCGATGAATCTCGAGCGCTTCAGAAAAAAGATACCAAACCAAAACTCCATCCGTACACACAGAGAGACGAAAGCGCACGCACAACGGAATTGCGCTGCAAGTGAAAAGAGAGAGAGAGGAGGAGGAGGAGGAGGAGGAAGACCGCGTGCGAACCGTGCGACACGGGTCTGTGGTCTTTGCGGTCACTCGGGTCACGGGGTATAGGAAGGGAAAATGGCGGCATACTCGCACAGAATATTCCGTCCGCATGTATCTGGGCGAAATTACGCCCAGGGGTCGATGGAAAAAGTCCTACCAGCTGCAGAACTGGCTCCGGGGTCCTGTTCAGACGAGCCTTCGCCTCCCTTCGCTTTTCTGCGACTGAGGGGTGGTGACCATCCGAAGAGGTGCGATCTTTCACATCGGGGGCTGTCATGGGACGATTCGTTTCAGGTTTCGGGCCATAACTTTTTTTCTTTTTTCTTTTTTTTTCAGGTTTCGGGCCATACTCACACTGGCACTTTCGGCAATTCATCAATTGACTCATCACCGGTGATGACACGAGTGCGCAGCATCCTTTAAATCCCACTGAACCAGAAGAGGACCAAGATTTGGTATCTCCAAAAGAATCTGTTATGGTAATTATAGTGTTACTTAAAGTTGATTGAATATAAGCAATACCGTGTTTTGTTTGCATGGCGTTTTTGATGTTATTTGACTTTGCAAGTATGATAAGATGTATAACGATGACCCAGAAAAAACGACAGTGTTCCAGCATATAGCCAGATTTTATAACTGCCCTAAAGTTGACAGTTAGAGTTACTGCCTCCGTTTACTGGGGCTTCCATTCGAAGCTTATGTCACTTCTCCTTTTCACCTTCCAGCACCGGGCAGGTGTCAGACTCTATACATCGTGTTACCACTTGG